CTACTCTACTCTACTCTACTCTACTCTACTCTACTCTACTCTACTCTGTTGTTTTGGAAAAAGTATGACAGGAATACTGACCATCTCTTGCAATTCTAGTTACAGCAGTAACTATTCTTAGATCCAATGTATGTAAGCAAATGCTCAAAACTCATTATGGTGCTATGGCTGCTGTGCTAGGCCAAGACCAAGGTTCACATTTCTAGTCTGCTACAAAAGCTTTTCTGAATAAATTTGGAACAACGACCCCTGGTTCATGGACTAGTACAGTCCAGGGCCCCTCGAGAACCAGCCATGCAAGCGGCGGACAAGCTTGTGAAGCCTCATTCGCAAGGCAGCAGAGGTACATCCACAAACCACCCCCTCCCTCCTGAGGCCAGTCCGCAGAGCCAGAAAGGCTCTGCTGCTTTAAATGACAAAACCAACCAAGCAAATTCTATTCTGACAGAGCACTGCTTGGACTAACCCAATGTTACGCCCTGTAGGGCTTTAAAGATACCGTCCAGCATTTGAATTCAGTGCCGAAGCTGACTGATAACCAATACCGTAAACTTAAAGTAGGTATTACTTCAAACTGGAGGGATTGGTTCTACTGCTGCATTTGAGGATATTACAATAGTTTCACAGGGAACTAAATCAAGACATGGGTTACAGGTAGTACTTGACTTACAACAGTTCATTTAGTGACCTTTCAAAGTTACAACAGCACTGAAAAAAGTGACTTAGGACCATTTTTCACCTTATAGCGAATATAGCATGCCCATGGTCATATGATCAAAATTCAGATGCTTGGCAACTGACTCCCATTTATGATGGTTGCCATGTCCCAGGGTCATATGATACACTTTTGCAACTTTCTGACAAGCAGAGTCAATGCAGAAGCCAGTTTCACTTAACAACTGTGTTATTAATTTAACAAGTGCAGAGATTCACTTAACAAATTTGGCAGGAAGAGTTGTAAAAAGGGGAAATACTCAGCTAATTTCTCACTTAGCAATATACATGTTGGGCTCAATTGTGGACATAAGGACCTCCTGTAGTGATTGCAGGGCATAAATCATCAAGGATAGATGATCAAGGATTATATTACAACATTCTTCAATGGATATTGTTAATTTTAAGATTAAAAATTCAAAAAACTGCTGTATCAATCTTGGTTATAAACTCCCTGTACTGCTGCTTACAGAGATAATTCTAGAGATAATCTAGTAAAGGGGCAAGGACTAGAAAGAAATGGGGGAAAAATGAAGAAATGAAATGAAAAAAAATCTAAATAGTTCTATTTGGCAAATGGAATCCCAGATTCTGGTTTATTAAAAAAAATAAAGGTGTTTCAATTTCCAATAGCAAGAGTTAGAATAATTCTTACCTTATCATAAGTACCAGTTTCTGTATGACACCAGTTTCTTCCATCCGATGAAGTAACCCGCACTGTATTTTGGATTTCTTTGGGAAGATAGCTGCGAAGGACATTACGTAGCCGGACTGTGCGAGACATAGAGAGATCGTTGGCTGTCAGCTCACCTATTTCAAGAAGAAAGAAGCTTAAACCAAGGGCACCATATCTCAGACTCTTTCAAAAACAGATCGAAGTCTATACAGAAATGAAGTCTATCTTGCTATATGATGCGCGTGATCTCTGCCAAGTATCTATAGATCATTAGTAAATCATGTTACTTACAACAATACCTGGTCTGTAAAAGTGCCAGTGTCTTTCCACCTGGGGCTGCACAAAGGTCAAGGACTATGTTTCCAGGCTGTACATTGAGAGCCAAAACAGGTAAAATTGAGGCAGCATCCAGGAGATAGTAACCAAGAATTCCTATGATGTCTGGTCTACAAGTCAAAGAAATATATTAAGTGGAAATATACAACAACCATTGCAAATGCATACTTATTAGCCCCAATTAGTTGAATATTCCTGTTGTAACTTGATTTGTTTATACAAGTTATTATTTCTGAAGATTTCTAAAGTTTATGCTATGTTTTATTTACAAAAGTCCCAGGTAAATGTTAGAGAGCTGCTGTTGCTGAGATAAATGGACCAGAATATAAGGCAGGTTTCAAAGCAATTTACCTTTTTAGAAGTAACCCACTATTTTAAGAATTTAAGGTATGTACTATATATATGCAATTGTATCTTGAAAAACAGTTTTATGCCACCTTTTTGTTTTGTATTTAAGTTTTTTCTGCTTGATTTTATACAAATCATACAAGGCCCTCCAAATATTAATAGATCAGTTTCCATCATATCTGATTACTGTCTATACTGGTCGGGACAGAGAAGGGATAAATAGATTGAAAAAGCATGTTCTTTTGTATTCTGAAAGATCAACACCTAATTTATTTTATTACATTAAAAAAAACTCTTTGAAGCAAAATAGAAAGCTTAAGAAGAGCAGAAAATTGCTATTTCAGGAAAATTGTATAAGCATTCTAAAAACCCAAAAATTCATACCTAGTTTGACGGAAACGACTGATGTCTCCTTTGGGGAATGTGTAACATTTGATGTTATGATTGACATTAAGAAAATGCTGTTCTTGAGTCTTTGAAAGTTTTGTCTGAATTTGTGGAGATGAACTTGGCACACTGTCATTTTCTTCAATGGAGGAATCTAATTCCTCGGTGACTTTCTGAGATTCTTGGACAAAATCTACTGCACTCATATCTTCCAGACTCTGAATGACTTGTTCTACATCAGAGAAATTGTTGACTAGGGCCCCATATTTTTGCATCGACAGGAGACTGATGCGAATTGAGGGCCAGAGGCTGCCAAACTGGTCTCCATAATTCATGTCAAAGACCTGGAGGGCCACTCTGGTATTAGTTGTCCGAGGATCAGTGGCTGCCTATATACAACAATTAAAAAAAAATCATTCAATGGAAACATTTTATAGTTGTCACTGATAATGAAGCATAATTTTCAAACTGGGATTGTCTATTGAGTTCTCCCTCATGCACATACAGTAGACATATTTCAACATGCAATGCTCCATTATTGATAAATGTGAATGAAAACTGTAATCATGAAGCTAAGCCCACATCATTATTTTCTACTTACTTTGAACTAAGAAAAACCCAGATTATAAATTCCACGCATTCCCTCTTTATATGCAAGAACCCCTAGAAGAGGTTTTCTTCAGCAAGAAAGTATGTATGGGTAACTCTCAACTTACAACAGTTTGTTTAGTGACTGTTCAAGTTAAAACTCGTGACTTATGACTGTTTTTCACACTTTATGATCACTGCAGCATCGCCATGGTTATGTGATCAAAATTCAGAGGCTTGGCAACTGTCTCATATTTATGATGGTTGTAGTGTCCTAAGATCATGTGACCACCTTTTGCAAGACAATGGGGAAACCAGATTGACTTAACTGTGTTATTATCTGAAAATCTACAGTGATCCACTTAACTGTGGGAAGAAAGGTCATAAAATGGGGCAAAATTCACTTAACAAATGTTTTGCTCAGCCACAGAAATTTTGGGCTCAATTGTAGCCATAAGTCAAGGACTATCTGAATTCAGGAGTCAAGTTCAGTCAGCTGAGTTAAACTATGTGTTAAATGAATGTTTTAATTGCAACAATTGTGGAAATGATTTGTCACATTACATTCCACATATCTAAATCAAAACTCTTATTCCAAGATACACATCTCCTTTAATAAAGAATATCAATAAAAAGCCAAATTAAGATTGCTGATAAAAGACTATAATCTGGCTTTAAACACTACACATCTCAGTCTATTTAAATAAAATGATATAGGCTAGTTTTGTAACTTGATCCTAAAATTCCTTGGGACTTCCAAAAAAACATGCATAGGGCTGGGCTTCAGGAGATACATTTGTTTAGACAGAATAATCAGCATAATCCAATGCTAAACTACTCAGTCATCCTACTGTAATTTCAATGTAAAGCCATCTCTCTCTTTTGGAAAAGCAGTTTTCCTTTAAATCATCAGGAGGAAGGACATGGTCCAGTATCTTAAGAAACGGAAAGCTTGAGACTAGCCTATAGTGAGTTTTTTCTACCTTAGTCACTTCTTAAGATATGTGGACTTCAACTCCCACCATTCCCTAGCTAGCCATGCAGGAGAATGCTGTGAATTAAAATTTACAGATCTTAAAGTAGCCAGGATTGAGAATCTAATACGACAAGGGACGGGTTAATTCTAATACAGAGGGGAAAGAAAGGGTGGGAAGAGTCTCTCAGAGAAGACCAGGGAGAGATCAGAAATCAGGTCGAGATGGTTCCGTGGGGTTACGAAGGGCTTGCCCTCTAATGGGGCTGGCATGTTGGGGAGACGGGGCGGGGAGACAGCGAACACGCGTGTGCGCGGGTGGCGCCCCGCTATGCCTCCTTCTCACCCACCCATTTCTTCTTGTAATGACGATGCCGGCGGGGCCCCGAGGGGTAAAAAAAGGCGTTCCGCAAATACCGCAGGAGTAACCGCTTCCCGTTTGCCTGGTGTAAAACCGCCATGCTCAACGACGGTATCATGAGCCGGCGGAGGGACGGTCCAACAACAACCTCTTCCCCCTCTGCCGTGAGTCCCACCGTTTTAAGCTCCCCTGGCTGATGTCGACGTGCAAAATCGTTCCGTCGCACGTAGGAGTAACAAAACCGGAAACTGAGCAGCTTGACATTGGGAATGACAAGCGTCGAGTTGTTTTTTTATGTGTTATGTTATTGGCAGCATGTCGGTGGGGAAGCCCAGAAAATTACACGCCCTCTTCCCACGGAGCTTCGTTTAGGGAAAGGAGTTAACGTTTTATTCGGGTCGGTGAATGGCTGCTTAAGAACGCCTCGGCAGATACAAAGACAAAATGCGTTTTTCCAGAACCCTTTCCCAAATGTCAGGCTCTTAGCAATTGTGTATTTATAAGTTAAGTGAACAAATTAGTTTCAACGCATAAATGGAGTATGGGCCATAAGGCCATCTGTTTTTAGCTGATAATTACTATGTCGACCAAGATTTCAGTAAGTCAGTTTAAGGTGTTTTCTGCCCCTTTCATCCATCTCTACTTTTGACCATTTTAGGGCTTTTTGCAAACTGTGTTGCAATTTCTGTGCATTGACAAAGAAAGTGATGCTATGTACGTGGCAGAGACCAATCAAATAACAGGAAACGTCCCCCCCCTAACATTTTCCTAGAAGTGGGGGGTCCATTCCCCCCCCATCCTCTCTCGGATTTTGAGCAGGAATTGACCAGCCTGCTTGTCTGCACAGACTGACATCAAGGAGACTATATGCAGGTAGATTTTTTTTTCCTTATTAAGATTTCTTCCCATTTGTGCCCAGATGTGGAGGTTGTATATTGCCTTGACAACCTGCTCCCTCCAACACACACACTTGCGAGCATCAGTAACAGAGGAATACCAGATACTAAGAGGGTGCTCTATTTAGCAAACACTTTCCTGCCTCTTTAGTCTTTGGGATAGACTTTCAACCATCAAAATGATTGAAAAAGCTTTCCCTTCTCTAAGGCATCTTGACCTCATGTTAGTTGCTTTTCTAGCAGCCGTTTCCTCTGATTTTCTCTACATTTTCTGAATTCTTAAAATCTGAAAAATTCAGGAAATCTCTCTCCACACATACACAGTTAAAATTCTCCGTGATTTAAAATCTGAATATGCCATAATTTTAAACAAGGATGTGTAGTTATCACAACTGTTTTATTTTTTACAGTAAATGTTTAATGTGGAAATGTACAGAAACTGTTAACACTGCAAATCGTCCACAGAATACAGAAGTAATACGATGCAGTAATCAAAAAAAAAAAAAAGGATCAATCTGTCACAGAAGCAGGTCACATCTGTTAAGTGTTCATTGGATATGAAGAAGTTGACATGATTGAATAAACATTTATTTCAGTTTGGAGAAGAGTTTGTGAGCTACCTGTAAACCAAGAAATTAACAAATGAAAACAAGAATTTAAGCAAAAAATATATTCTACTTCTTGCACAATATATTCTTACAGTTTACTTACAGAAGTTTATTTTATTTACAAACTGCTGATCCATAATTTTTCTAAAGACTAAGGGACAACAAAGTTTGACAATCATAACTTCATTTGATTCATATAATTATTATTTTATGCAACTTTATATATAAAAGTCATGCTAAAATCAACTTACACAATGGTCTCTAGCTTCCAGGAAATCAAAGAGCTCCTCTGTACACTCCTCCAGTGTTTGAGATCTGGAGGATACCCGAGAATTACACTGCTCTAAACGTTCCATAGCTTTTGCACATTCTTCTATTTTTTCACACTCTTCCCTAACAATTGTTAAAGGATCCTGGAAGAAAAAGCATCACATACGTAATTAATGCTCTTCTAAAGACATTACCAAATGAGTGAGTCAAACTTACTCTTAAAGTTAGCATACCGAAGTCTATAATTATCAGGACAGTTGATAATCATAAGAAACTTGAAAACTCTGGATTATAAATTGTAGCCATTCAGTGAAGTATTATTTTTCCTCAAAGACTAACATCCAGGACATTTTGAATTTCTTTTTAAAAAACATAGAATTTTGGTCCTTTCCCTACAAGAGCTGGCCATGTTTGGCAACTACTTTTCTGCCTTGTACTCAAGATGTTGGTGGTATCATGCTGAAACCCATACTAGCAGTTTAAAGTCTTCCGTTGTAGTTTAATTAAAGTAATGCCTTCTTTCCTAAGCAGCCAATAAGCCAGTTTTACCACTGTTTTGTCACTGGAATCGTGAGATGACTCCTAGTTAGAATCAGCTTAAAACTTAAATGGGGAATTTAACTGGTGCTGTCCCATCCCTAGTGGGCACTGTCCTTGAGGGCCATTCTATTTTGGTGCAAAGAGTATGGCTCTTTTGAAACAAGCTCTTTCAATATATCTATTGGTCTCTGAGCTGTTCCCCTTGTTAATAGAGAGAAATCAGCAGCTAGGGTGGAGGCTGCATGGTAAAGCAGAACAGAGCCGGTCAGTTTCATGACATAGTCTCCCCATTGCATCTGTCAGTTCTATTTGGGCTGCTTTTGACCACAGGTTTAGTGCACTTCTGTTCTATGTACCATAGAAGAATATGCTATCACAGTCACCTGTTCTAATCCTGACAGGTAATCTCAGGCTGAAAAATAGGTAAGTAAAATGAATTCTGACGAATTGCTAAACCTCCAAATCTGACTGACTGTCAAAAATATTGCCAATTATGTTATGACAGGTGAATGGATATCCTGTTGATGGCATTGTTGAGGTGGTTTGAAGATAGGACTTTTCTGCAGAGAAATTGGGACACTACTCTTCAACTACACTCAGAGCAAAGGCAACTGATATTTCCGGTAGTAATAGGGAACAACAACATCTGTATTGGTTGGGGTTCTGCTAGCTCTCAAACAAAAGAGCAGTTTAACTGAGCCAGGAAAAGTTTTACAGTTTGGAAGCAAAGTCCCTATTTAGTTTGTCCATCTTTACTCTTACTATAGGAATCCTAACATTCAAAAGAAATAATATATTAAAACAAGGTTGGGATATTCTAAATACAATAGTTCAGAATACTTTATTAAACAAAAATCAGATACAAAAATGGAATAGTAAGACATTCACTACATAACCACTAAATAGACACAGCATTTATCAGAACTGATCTGCCCAATTTCTATATTATCTTTTTGTTCCTGAATTATTGGTTTTAGTAAAAAGAACACATGCTATTGAGCAAATAAGTACATCAGATAGAAAGTTTGTTTTAGTTTCATTAAAGCAGCATAGAAAAGATGCCATAGGATTCTGCTAATATTCAAAACCAGACATTTCATTGCAGTATCACAAACACACTTGTTGTGATCAAGAAAAATAATTGTTGAAATTTACTTGTGAACCCAATAATCATTCCCACCACTATATACATTTCTACCATTTTTTAAATTTTCATCCAGACAGAATACTATGGATTCTTTTAAAACAACATTGTTGATTGAAATGTTATGAATTACTTCTCTTGTTCAATTGTCCATAAAGTTGTCCATAAAGTTACATACCACAAGTTCTTCCTCCTCTTCCTCCTCCTCCTGTGCCAGGAAAAAAAGAATCATAATGGATTCATTAATATTCTCATATCTACATTGCATGAAATACATTGAATTAGAAAAAAAAAATCAAAGACCAATTTCAATTACAGATAGTGCTTGACTTATAGCCATTTATTTAGTGACAGTTCAAAGATACCACAGCACTGAAAAAAGTGGCTTATGACCATGTTTCACATTTAATCATTGTAGCAGCCCCATGGTCAGGTGTTCAAAATTTGGATACTTGGCAACTGGCATGTATTTATGATGGTTGCAATGTCCCAGGATCATATGAACACCTTTTGCGACCTTCTGACAAGCAAATTCAATGGGGGAAACCAGATTCATTTAATTGTGTTACTAACTTAACAACTGCAGCGATTCGCTTAACAACTGTGGCAAGGAAAGTCATAAAATGGGGCAAAACTCAACTGTCTTGCTTAGTAACAGAAATTTTGGGCTCACTTGTATGGTGGTCGTAAGTCAAGGATTATTTGTACTTAATTTCTTTTATGTAGCCTCTTTCATATGGCATCCTTTCAACATTTATTATTATCCTTTCAGCATTTATTTTATTTTGTAAAGCACAGAAATATATATATATATATAAAAGGCAAGGAAAAACACAAAAATAATTAAAAAAAGAAAGTGGCAGAGAAGACCTGGAAACTATGTTACAAATAGAACTCCAAAAACTTTCAGCATTGATGGAAAGACTTCTTTGTCCCTTTATCAAAAAATATATGATGAAAACAGATATTAATAATTCACTGCTAAAAAAAGAGTTATAGAATTCTCCTTCCAATGTTTTATAATTCTTTCTGCCAGTCCTCAGGACTGAAATATCCACATAAGAATTAATATTTAAAGCATTTTTTAAAAAATTAAGCCAATCAGTCCTGGACTGGAATAGTAAGATTACTGTACTAGCCATGGAATATTACTATATTTCAGCACATCATAAATAAATATTAATAACGTAGAACTCTTTACAAAAAGAGGGATGATCATAAAAGGTATGCATACCAGTGTCATATGCTGTAAGGATTTTTTTAACTTCTATTTTTACAAGTAAGATAAGAAAAGAAAAATATACAATTAACTTCTAGAACTGATAAAAGCTTAATTCATGGGAATAAAGAACACAAGGTGAGGTTATAAGCAAAAAAACAGAAGCCCCAGAGACATTCAAATGATATGCACAGACGTATTATTTAGTGTTTATATAATGGCCAATATTTTACACCTTAAAAAGAATAAGGAAGCGCAGCCCACCATATATAACTACACGGGTTTATTTTTCAACCAACACAAGCACTGGGATGGGAGTTGTAGTCTTCCAGATCTGCAAGGCAACCAGATGGCGAAATTTGCAGCAATAAAAAAATTATGTCGCTAACCACGGTTTCTCGAAATTCACACAAAGCACGTTACAGAGTATATCAATTGGTTAGTGATTATTATTTTTCCTGCGGCTCTGCTACTCGGGCTATATTATAAATACGCGTGCCTTCATACACATTCAAACGAAGGTCCATTATGTTACAGGTGTACTGGCACGTGTAAATGAATATACGACTCTAGTGGTAGCTACTGAATGACCTTGCGATGAAATTAAAAGCTCAGATCAAGAAAACAAGCAGGCCCCAAAATGAAACGATGCGGGGTCTGGGAAGCGAAGAACATGTAATTTTAAGATGTGAGAATAACCCCATTTCCGATGTCTCCCTGTGGCGCGGCTCACCTCAGGGTCGTCGCGGCGGCCCTCAATTGCCTTTTCGTCCTCCCTACCCATTTCGGCAAGTCTTCCTCAACCCCGATTTAGATCCGGAGAAGGACGCCCGAGGGTCATCCGCATGTCAGCGGAAATCCCGCCTATCCCCAGCAAACCTTCCGATGGGAGGTTTTTCATTCCAGCCGACCTTCTTAAGATGGCTCCTTGCCTCTCCCAACCATCATGTTCCCGTCGCAGCGTGCGAGCCATGTCGGGAGGACTATTTCCATCGCATGACGCTGGGGGGCGCTCGATCTAGTCAGAATGGCAGCATCACACGTCCGCCTAACAATGAGTGACCCCCCAAGATGGCGTCATTCCGACGGTGTGTGGTTTCTGTGTTTGTTTTTTAAACACAGTGGACCCGCCGCCGGAAGAATATGGAGATCAAATCTGGGGAAGAAGTCGGCAGGGAGAATCCCCTCCGCCTGTTTGAGCTAAGTGGGGCGGTAATCAGCTCCATCATGGGACAAGTTGAAAAAGAAGTTTGGGGTAAGATGGAAGAGAGGCTCCTCGTTGTGACCCACAGCCAAACAGATCTCTGCTATGAAATGGAGAATCTCTTGCCTAGTTGGAAGGGATCGGTAAGGGTGTTGAGATGCCCTTAAAAAGTTTCTTCAGCATGCACAATAATAGGCAATATACAGAGATGCTCCAACCACAATCGGGCAGGAAAATCCTGCAATCCTTCAAATATAGTACAATAAAGGAATAAATCTTGCTGGATAAGATGGGGAAGGATTCCAGAGTAAATTAGCAGGCAAACAGTGACAATATAAATGTCAGTTGTCATTACTGGCACATTGTCCCATTGGGTGAAATCCATATCCACTGAATTGGGTAGAATTTTGTTAGACTGGAAATCTAAAACCATATTTAGACAGGAGTTATAGTAGTGAGATATTTTCAGATTCAGAGCTCCTGGCATCACGAGACAAAATGCAATGGATAAATCTTTCCCTTAAACCCTTTTCCTTGTTAAAAACAATATAAGAAGGAATGGAAACAATTAGAGGTTTATTTGAAAGAAATATACTGTTGTCTAAATGATACAGAATAATAGAGAATAATGGAAGTAAAGATAAAATTATAATGTACTAGTATAATAGTTATATTCTAAGATTTACATTCACATAGTAGAAGAAAAGGTCCTGAAACATTTTAAAATGAATATGATTTGGTGGTTGCCTATATAATATATGTGTGCATGTATGAGTGTATGTGTAAGTAAACTGGAGCAGGAGCAGAATATCTGCTCTCTGGAGTTTCAGTTCTTCAAGCATTATCTAAATATGCTTGTACCAATTCATTTAAACCACTTTCTTTGTCACTAAAATGCATTTTTATATTGCTTTCTCCCCACCAAAGAACTTCCAGGTCCTATACTCCAGGGTATCTTGCCTCTGCTGAACATATATTATCTGGAACGAATTGAAGAGACTGCTGTGAAAAAAGGTCAGTTACAATGATTTCATATGGGGAGGAAGATAACAAGGAAGGCCAAATGGTAACTAATAATAATCCTCGGAAATATACTTTTCACTTTCATGCATGGAAGAACTATTTTATTGATTAGCAGACATTTGTACTTATTATTTCTCCATTTTCCCAACATATCCAAAATTGGATAATATATTTCTGGTTCTTAATAAAATGGACATGTATATCAGCCAGACACCAACTAAACCAGGATGAGATACTCACTTTTTGTAAAAGTTACAGTTTATGCAAAATCATTTCATCAGAAGTTTTGAGCACAAACTATACTTTAAGAATCAGAATGTTATGAGTAGTTGCTTTCCTATAATCAGAACCATATTCAAATATATGGCTGCAAGGCCTCTATTGGCTAGTTATTAAAATCTTATATTTACCCCGTCTTAAGGGTTTACTCTGACCTCCTTTCATATGCTACAATTATATTTTATTACTATGTAGATATGATTGCTGAAACAATCATTGCAGAAGACCTTAGGTTTTTCCATGGGGATGAGGAATTTGGAATGTGCAGATATTTCAGAATTCAGTTCTGAATATCTCTGGCTAGACAATGTGTGTTTGCCTTCAGAATATTATTGACTTCTGCGATTGCTTGGATGAGTTCATGCAGTTTTCATGACAAAATTATTAGAAATTGTTTATGCTGCTTTCTTCCTAAGGCTGAGGGAAAGCCTGCCAGCTCTGTGTCTAAGGCAGGGCTTGAACTTTCAGCCTCATGATTTCTAGGCTAGTGCTGCTTGAGTTATTAAGCTAAAACATATGAAATGCATCAGTTTGCCTATCTTTTTCTTAATTGTGTTTTCTATGGATAATGAAAATAGGAGTTCAACATATCTGAATGGCAGCCAGTGAGCATGTGATATACAATATTAAATATCAAATGATATAATAAAATAAGGAATGTATGCAACTTTACAGCTTAAATGTTGAAGCAATATTTTAACACATTTTGGTGACTTCCTGTTTTGAGATAGATGCTTTTAACATCTATGGATTTTTAAAAGTTATTTGTGCGTGTGTGTATGCGTGTGCATGCATAAATAATGTTACATTACAATTTTATGCATGTCTGGTCTGTAAAGACGTAAAACCCTTTGAGATCAATTGGATTTACTCTCAGATAAGTATATATAGGTGCAATCTTAATTTGTTTCAAAACACTATCAATAGATGCACAATTGTTTTTGTAAAACTAATGACAGTTATTAACATAATAGTTACTTTAAATGTGCTATATATTTCCGTAGGACTCTCAACTGAACCAATATGGTGCAAGCTATGGTTTGACATCATGAAAACAAGACCTTCTAGATTAGAGGTGGGTTAAAGATATAAACTGCAAAATTGATATAGCAAATGCGATTATGCTCTTACCTTCCTGGTTAACTTCATAGAATCTCCTGTACAGGGATCTCCCATAGCTGCTTTTGTTAAATTTTGCACTCCAGTCCTTCTGTACTTTTCAGATATTTGCTATGCTTTAACTTCCTCTTCTGTATATTGTCACAGAAATAGTAATTTCCAAATACTGTATTTGTTTATTGTCCAGTGGCTGTCCCATTAACCACACAATAGCAGAAAAAGGAATATAAACATTCAATCAAATGTGGTGCCTAACCAGCAAACAGGTTGAGTGAAGGACAAAGTTACCAAAACTCCCATGCTAAAGAATATGCAAATATAACTGCATCAAGGTTTCTATGGTGACATCAGGCTATCTTCAGAAGTAACATTTTTACGATTGACCTTTAGATTTCAAGGCTCCCCATAACTGTCATAAACTCAAAAATTTTTTATTTAGAGTTAACCTAATGCCATTTTTAAATTCTCTAACAATATACTTTATATACTGCTATCATCCAGAGCCTTAGATTCACTCCTGAGACCTCAGATAGCAGCATATAAATTAATCACGTTTCTTCCTCAAAGATGCAAACTTTGCAGTGGAATGCAGCTGATCTTTGAAAGGCAGGAGCTAAGAAAAAATAGTAAAACAAAAAAAACAAGAGCTTGTCCTAAATTGTAATCACCATAATTGCAACAAGGAATCAATTATGTCTGTGGCAGACAAAATCTTTTTGGACATAAAATTTTAACACTAGTTAGGGGCAAAAAAAAGGAACAAGAGCCAAATCAATATGTCTGAACTAAATTCTAAGCTAAGAGTATATACTATCTTTGAAAGCGGGCTTTCCTCCCTTCTTTTCATATTTAGACCTAACAACCTTTTTCTTACACATCCTGGTAGACTTTCAGATATTCTGAGCCACATTCCCAAATATGATAGATGCCTTCCCAATTCTGCATCTGTCTAAAGATGACTTTGAAACTTCCTTCCACTCAGTCTTTTCACACAGGGTCCATTTTCCCAGTTAACTGCTCTGGCCCCAACGTTCCACAGGGTTTCCTTCAGTTGGTTATTGTTCTCCAGGGGCATCTTATCTACTCTGTTTATTCATACCTACCTACATATAATCTATAAGACACCCCGCCCCCCATCTATTTGTTCTCCAGGAATGATGATACCGTATCTACTTCATTCATTCATTTATACAATATATAAGGCTGTCCATCTCCTGAATGGTGCACAAAGATTAAAAACAACCACTACCATTTAATCACAAACGGAACTCCTGAGGCAAAAATTACAACCCAACAGGGCAGAGCCCACCTAGCTATATGGCTCAAACATTAAAGTTAGGTTTTTAATGCAATGTGTAATAAAGGAACAAGGCACTTCTGGGTTCAAACCAGTCCCTTCTCTGAGGTTCTTCAGTTCTGAGCTATCCCATGCCTCTGGGTGAGCAGCAACTGAAAAACTAGGTCTCTTTGCTGCCACCTCCTCTTTTCTATAAATCTGTTTCTTTCGTCTACACCAACTCTCTAGGGAACCAAGAGAGGATTGTAAGGCAAATGTAGAGCCCATCCTGGGTCTGGCTAAATATTGAAAGGGAAAGCCAACAAAAACCATTGCTCAGCCAAGCTGAGGTGGGTGATAGAAGGCAATTGATCAGTCCCAGGATTTAAGCAAAACTCAACTTTATGTTTGGTGTCGGGGTGCCTGGAAACCAGGAGACCGTATGTTCTAGGCCTGCTTCAGGCATGAAAGCCAACTGCTGATTCTGGGCCAGTCACTGTCTCTCAGCCCAACCCACCTCCCAGTTGTTGTTGAGAAAATAAGCAGGAGTAGAAGGCATGTTCACAGCCTGGAGTTATACAGGTAGTCCTAGATGTACAGCCACAATCAAGGCCAAGATTTATGTTGATAAGCGAGAAATTTTTTGAATGAGCTGTGCTCCATTTTATGACTTTTCTTGCCACCTTTTGTTCGGTGAATCACTGCAGTTGTTAAATTAGTAAAACACCGTTGTTAAGTGAATCTGGCTTCCCCATTGACTTTTGCTTGTCAGAAGGTCGCAAAAGGGGATCATGGGAGCTCAGGACATTGCAACCGTCATAAATATGAACCAGTTGTCAAGCATCCGAACGTAAATCACATGAACATGGGGATGCTGCCACGGTCGTAAGTCCGAAAAATGGTCAGAATTCACTTTTTTCAGTAACTTCAAATGGTCATTAAATAAGCTGTTATAACTTGAAGACTACCTGTATAATTTATATATACATATGTGTGTGTGTGTGCAAATAAACAAACAAACAAACAAACAAATAGAAGAAAATACAAATATAACAATAAATTTCAATCTTGCCTGACCCTCAGCCAAGACTCAGCCAACTCCCTCACAAAAGGCACCAAAATTCTTCCCAAAATTGACAGTTCCTCCTTCTATTCCTCCTATTGGCTGTCACAGGTCAGGTGACTTGGCTTATAGAGCATTGCTCCGCCCTGCAAATGCCTTATGAAAAACGAACAGGCCAAAACCATTCCAATGTTCTTGTGCACTCTATAAATTTACAGTAGACTGCTAGGCAAAATAATTTGAACCAATTTAAATAAAAAAGTGTACTTTCTGAACTGGTATTACTCAGTCCTATCCCCCCACCCCCCGAATAATATTTTAACAACATCTGCAAGATTATCTACAGCGAGCTGCCCCTTGAGAACTTCAAATAATCTGCAGCAGTTAAAATCAATTTTTGAAAATAAAGATGAGCAGAACAATATTAGGATAAAATCAGCATGGGATTCTAGGTTCTTCATAGCATTTTAAAATTGCCAAAGAAGAAAGTGGGCATACTTCTCCTGCAAGGGCATTTCAAAAGGGTGGGATCACCAATCTGACTAGCCAACTTATCGCAGTATATCCTAAGTAAACCTTTAAATTCTAAAATTTAATCTAATTGTTCAAGTATGAACCCTAAAATACACCTCTGAAACAAGTTTGAAGTACAAATTTCTAGAGTATACTTAGATATCAACAGCTTGCTTTTATTTCCATATGATTGCAGAATATCAAGTGTTGGAGGAAGAAGTTCCTTGAAACTTTCTTCTCAAATGTGCTGCGTGGGATCTTGGATGTGTCATCGCATCAACGCTTGAGTGATCCTTGTTTTTTGCCCCTGCTGTATACTTCACGGCACATATCTGAGCTTACTATTTACAATATGCTTGAGGGTATCTCAGAACTGATGGCTGAACACAATCGTTGTGTCCTTGAAAACCTGGCTGTCTCACTTAGAACTCTGACCTTCCGTCACCTCCTTTCCTCCAATCTGTCTACTAGACATCAGTTGAGTTTATTCCTTCATCGCCTAATTCATCATGGGGCAGTGAACTACCTATCTATGAACTCATGGCCTGATCCTGACCCAGCACTTCTAGCTCTCATTCTGAAAATGAGTGCTGGGATTTGGAATCCCGGTAGGACTTTAATGAATGCAGAATTTTGCCATCTGTGTAGAGAGAAATTGAGTATACAGAGCCAAAAGCTGGACCAGGAATGTAGGCCTCCTTTGGGTTCAGACCAATTGTTTTCTACAGCAGCATCTGGCCAATTTAGCGATAATGAGCTGAGGAATATGAAAATCTTTCCCAGTGTGCCTCAGGAATTTCCTCTAGGCTTTGAAGATGCTGGAGAGTTATTCAGAGCCAGCAATAAAAGCTTTAGTGAACCACCAGACTGCCAATTGGGTAGCAGTTCCTACAAAAGTCATAGGCCGCACAATGCTAGCTCAAAAGATTGTAATGCTGAAGTAGCATCCGTTAGCTTTTCCCCAGCAAATCCATCTCAAGGCAGCCTTCCTTTGGGAAAATCTCCGCAGAGGCGCAAAGCTGCAATAACAAAGAAGCACAGCATCCATAAAAAAACCAGCAATATCGCCACTGAGATGGAAGACCTGTATGACTTTGTCTTCACAATTGCAAAGGAAGAAGAGGAGAGGGCATTCTATCACAAAATAAGGAATGTTGGCAAGGAAGAACATTGTGATAATGAATCCCCTCTCCCAGCAGAGGCTTCCAGAGTGACTGATACGGTTTCCTTAGGGGGAACTCGAACGATTGGGTTCACTCCTCTGAGGGCAATTAGCCATTTTCGAAGTGTATCCACATTGGAAATATTCTCTGTCCCACTGACCAAGAATACATGCCAGATGCTTGGGAATCTGTTAAGCTCTTGGGTAGCTTTAGAAAAACTTATTCTTACTTTAAATGGTAAGTAATAAACCAAATCTTTGCCTGTAAATGTTAATCCTTTGTGTAGAAACTTCACAGACAGAAGTGGATAAACGGCAACCCCTTGGACTCATTAGAGGTCTATTGCTATCCATTCTGTTGAGTCAGGATGTAATTTTTAATGTTTGACATCTGGATGGCCACAACTTCTTTTTTATGTGTTTTGCAATGTTCAAATATGAAAACCATTTGCTTTTAGAAAAGGAAGCACTGCTAGAGAAAACAAGAATACTCCTACTGAACAGGCCAAAAGCTTTCTTAATTGTATTTTTTTTTTCATAGTGGCAAACTAGGTAACTCTTGAGATACTTGATGGCAGGTTGGCGAAGATACGGGTAGTCCTCAACTTATGACCACAATTGAGCCATAAATTATTGTTGCTAAGTGAGACAGTTATCAAGTGAGTTTTGCCCCATTTGATGACCTTTCTTGCCCCAGTGAATCGCTGCATTTATTAAGTTAATAACCCGGTTGTTAAGTGAATCTGGTTTCCCCAGATTCACTTTTCAGAAAGTTACAAAAGGTGCTCAGATGACTCTGGGACATTGCAACCATCATAAATATGAACCATTTGCCAAGCATCTGAATTTTGATCATGTGACCATGGAATGGTGCAGTGGTCATAAGTGTGAAAAACAGTCAAATCACTTTTTTGAATTCCATTGTAACTTTGAACAGCCATTAAACAAATGGTTGTAAGTCTAGGGCTACTCGTATATCTGCCATTGTTCTCCAGCAACTGATACTTGGAATTCTACGGTACTACCACCAACCAAGAGGTAATATTCTGTTAACACAAAAAGGTCCAATAGGCCCTCTTTCAAGTTACCAATTTGTACCTGAGATTTGACCTGGTAAAAAAGCAGCAGTTGGGTAATTTGGACAGTATTCGATTTTGATCTGACTGTATACATTAAAAAAAATGTTAATTTTAAAAAATAAACCCCAAATTCAAATACTCTATCAGATTTAGAGATTGCCTTGAATGTTGAGAGCAAATCTAAAATGCCCATTGTGCATAAACAAAAATATCTTAATGCAAACTTCAAAACAAAGTTTTCCATCTGCAATCTCATGTATCCTTACCATTTTAGAATATTTTAACCCAGATTCTTTGTCTTAATCCATATCTAAATACCAGGTGAAATAATTTTGATTCATGGACATACCATAAAAGCCACATGTATTATGACTCGGGAAACCCTGTTTGGTGTAGTGGTTAAGGAGCAGACTAGAAACCAGGAGACTGGGAGTTCTAGTCCTACCTGAGGCACAAAGTCAGCTGGGGACCTTGGGTCAATCACTCTCTCTCAGCCTAGGAAGCAGGCAATGGCAAACCATTTCTGAAAACGTTGCCAAGAAACCACAGGGGCTTATCCAGACAGTCACAAGGAGTCAACATTCACTCAGAGGCGTGCACGCGCGCGCGCACACACACGCACACACACTTGGAGAAATTAAAGCAAATTTGACAAATTTTAAGAGTATGTAATGTTGTACTCACTGACAAAACTTGTAATGTTACATATACAAATGCAACTAATATTTGATTACTGGAGAAAAAAACCAATTCTATTTCTGAGCTCTTCAGATATAATATAGTGTGGAAGACTAGAGCAAGTTTGATAGCCTATTCTGCCAATGTCTCAGAATATTGTATACTTATTTAAACCAAGTAGTAATTTTGCTATGCATGCATATTTTCAATTTCTCTTTTTTTCCTTTTAAAATTGTGCTTCAGGCTTAGGCTCTGGTATTTTCAGCATCCTTTCTGGGCTCCGAATTCTTTCTCAACACAACGATTATTGCCTCCGTGTGGTACGCATCAGTGATATGTTTGCTCATATTCCATGTATGAATCTTGTCCATTCTCTTTTGAGTGTTGTACCATTGCTTCAGATGCTTCTGGTCAGCTTTGATCTCAAAACTGCAGCCGAGTGGAATAGACTGGAAGAAGACATGGGCTCATCATCCTTAGTAGAAGAAATTCCAGGTACAATATAGATCTTCAGCTTCAACTAAACCACAGTAGCAGTGGTGGGATTCAAGTTTTTTTACTACCGGTTCTTCGGCATGGCAGGGGAAGGATACTGTAAAATCACTAGTCAGAGGTGGTATTTGCCAGTTCTCTGAAATACTCAAAATTTCAGCTACGGGTTCTCCAGAATTGGTCAGAACCTGCTGAATACCACCTCTGCACAGCAGGTTTCGTTTTAAACGTGAGAATAATTAAGTCATACTTATTAACTGCTCTATTTCAAATAATTCTTTGATTCTGGTTTGCCATCTTGCTAAAAGTCTTTTCTTGATAAAATGGGTGGATCCAACGCTCATCAGTAGAGCATGTGCTTGTGTGCTGAAGATTTCAAATTCAGTCTCAAACTGAATATATATCTGCTTGTAAATGTGTGTATATACAGTATATTCATCAAGGTTACCCCGAATTCAGAAGTGGTTGCAGAATGAAACAAAAATTAAAGTGATTTGATCATAAGTTAGCAACCATTTAATTCATTTTGACAAGTAAGATTATTACATAACAAAAATATTTGTATTAATTCTGTTGAGAAATTGAAGTTTTTCAGTTTTCAAGAAATGCACAGAAGTTTCTTGTTATAGATAATACCTGTACTTTAGGAAAAATATGGTATTGATGAATTCAGTGTATATGGAAAGTTGGAGTGAGCCTTCCCTTGCCCCTGACACTGTTCAGGCCATATGGTAGGAAGTGAGCTGCTATGACTGCTTCCCTTTTCTGACACACATTCCTTAACTGATTTCTTCCTGATCAGTTAAACTATGATTTGCTTTGAATTCGCATGTTATAGACTGAGGAATTCCTCCAAATCGGTATCACAAACTAGGTTGATCTCAAGTTTGTAATTTTTGTTCAAACCATATTTGCCAGCTTCAATCTGTGAATAGTTCTCTTTTACTATATTGACTTTTCACACCTAGTTACTTACTTGGAGCAGCTTGAGATCAGGTTTCCCAGAGAACCACTTCAAACAAGTCTTCTGGTGCCTGTACTGAAAGCTTCAGGGTCTCTCCAGAGTCTTTCTCTAGACAGCGTTGCAATTTCCTGTCCTCAAGAATTTTGGCTCCTCCTGCAAGCCCTCAAAGGTATGGGTGTAAGTTATTTGCTTGCAGTAAGCTAAAAAGTAACAGTGCTGTACACATTTAACATGAATATTAACATCTTAAGCACTTTGTCAGCAGTGTAACCATGGCCAAAATTAAGCTATAAAAGATACTTGAAAAAAAATATTGGAACCATCTGCTTGTTACACATTACCGAAGAGGAAAGTTTTAATCAGTGAAAAGTGTCAAGACAAGTTCTTATTTATCTTGGTAGAATATAACCCAAACCTGAAGAAACTAAGTTTTCATGATGTCAACCTTTCTGAACATTCAAAAGAAGTCCTCCTTATTCTACAGAGTCCAACTCTTCAAGGTACTAATAATTGCATTATTTTTTCCTATTCCAATTCTATAGCCGCTGTCGCATGTAATAAAAAAATAATGGTGTTTTTGGAGACTTATCATTTATGCATGGGATAGCTTAAGTCATAAATTTGGCTAAGGTACTGAATTTGTTCATTTAAAGAAGATTCCCCCCAACTATTATGAGGGAAATAAAAAATTAGCAGGAATGAGTGAAGGCCTAATATCATTTCCCCCTGCTCTGTCTGCATGAATGAAAACTGCTACTTCACGAGAGCTGACATCCTTATGGAAGAAAAAAAAATGGGTATATGACAAACAGTAGCTTTCTAGCCTCCTTTGTTCCTGGTGACAAACCCAGCTTCCCTGTGTCATATGCTATTGGCATACAAAGTTAATAGTCTCACAAGTTGTTTTTGTTGAACAAGTACAGTCATTATTTAATATATCTTTCCAGCTTTTGTCCATTGTCCATTCAATTAGACTGACTTCACCTAATGAATCAAAAGAAGAAGGAACACCTACATTAATTTTAGGTTTTGGTTTTCCCATAGAAATCAGTTTTTCATTTTGTCGACTCTTTGAAAACTGTACAGCTGAGCTTCTGACTGAAATGATTACTGCCATGAAGAAGAACTCATCGTTAACAACCCTCAAAGTCCCTGGAAATAGGCTGGGTATGTAGTGGGAAATGTAGCAACTTTCTTGGAGTGCTTTCTTCCCCTTTGCGGAGAATGAGCTAAGGCTCTGGCTCCTCTCAGATTTAGCTCTGGCTGTTGACATAAATTCCTGCCTGTGGTGATTCAGATGAGAACCTAATAATAATTGTATATATTTGCCTTTTCAGAATCTAGACTTATGGTTCCAAGGTGCTTTCTTTCAAAAAGCAACTGGGCTTTCTTATTTTGCTAGTTTAACTTTTCATCCAAGAAACTTCTTCAGTTCTGACTGAATGGTGGAGGCTTGCAGTCATCTGGTCGTTAGCACTCTTTATGAGAGTCATTGAGGCCACTTGGAGGTTTATCTGTGTCCTGAGAGTCACGTGAAACCTGTAGTCTGCATTTTTTTTCCTGGAAATTCATTCATACTCCTGCACTATTTGAAGAGTGGTCATCCCAAATTGCATAACTAAATGTCTATGGAGATTCTCAGTTGTGCAGGTAGACCACTGTATAATTTGAGAATATTCTTAGAAAAACCTACCCTATTCTGTATTTCCTACTACTGGCTAAATTGTTCAGTGTACCTAGATTCCAACATGTTTGATTTATTTTATTGCTACTTTTGCAATAATTAGAGCAATTAGAGCAACTAAGTTTAGAAAGGGATGCACATATCTACAATTACAACTTTTGTGCTTGTAGCAAAATAAAATAAGGACTGATCGACTGTCGATTATTCTATTTTTAAAAAGGAACAAAATTCTCAGGTAATCCTGTAAAAGCAATAAGCAAGTAGCTGTGGAGTCATTAGGAAGTGCATTTCATTATGTACAATTTGAAATGCAATGATGTACCAATAAAATTGATATGTTAAAGTTTTGTATATATTACCAACTATATACAAACTACCAAAAGTATTTGAGAAGCTCCATCATAAAATGTCAAATATTAAATATAAATGTTTTCAGTATGTATCTAAATTGAAATAAATCAACTCAAGCACTGCTGAAAACATACAATTTATGTTAGCATTTGACATTTATTTCCTTTTTCCCTTAATGGAAACCCTTTGGTTAAAAAATATAATTTATAAATAAACTTCCTGTTTGACACTCACATGATTGCTATTATAGTGGGAAATAAAGCTTGACCTGCTCATTTTCTTTTTTAGTACAATTGTTGAAGCTACTTAATTCCTATAGCATAGTGAAGGACAGTTGGTCCCTAGAAGTTCAGCCAATTGCTAAAGATTCTTTTTTGATGATTTCTTAGTGAGTTTTGTTCTTAAAAATATTTGTTAATTTACTCTGTATCTTTGGAGTGAGAAAAAAACCTTATAAATGGAAAGTAAATGGAAATTTCTTCCCAGGCAGTCATTTTTCTACCACTTTTCATATTCTTCCCCATTGGGAATCTTCATTAATGGATCTGTTTATATAATATGAAATGTACAAAATATTTCATCAGAGAATAGAATCTAGAAACATCCCGGAAGACGCTTGTCTGAAGGTTAATTTTTTATCCATGAAAAGGCATTTGGCATATTCCTATTATTTAGACTTTGTTCTATCACATCCCCCTCGTACTTTGCTTTAAATTACATTTCCCCCTATTATTAGGGAATCATAGATTGATTGCACTGGCTGACATTTTTGCTGGAGATTCATCCTCTTCTATCAGTCATCTGGATGTAAGGTATGTATGTAAACAGAAGTAACTTCATGCAGTCCTATGTCAAAAAAGATAGCAATGAAATTAGTCTGAGAAGCAATGCTTTTTTCATTCAATTTTTCTCGTCCAGTAGCTGGTAGCTTCGATAGCTTTTTGCATTCAATAGCTAGCATCAATTTGCACAAAGAAATAACTGCAATTTCAGTCTGTGGATATGGTTGCAGTCATATTTCAGCACTTGACTGCTTCAAAACTCATCAAATTCAGTATCTGACCTGCTTTAAAGCAGGAATTACAACATGCAAGGAAGAACTTGCTGATGATGGCTGTCTCATGAGACTCTATTTTTTCCGGCTGAAATAGCAGGTCATGTGGTAAGGCACATGATTTTCTTGGTATCCATCAGTTTTAGTATTCAGCACATCTTCCAGAATGGAATACCGATGAGGACCGAGGTACCACTGTATTCCAACTTGTTTCCCTCCCAGTTGTTGGTCCTGAACCTCCAATTGCAATGCTGGGAAAGAACTGCCAAGCAGAAGGCGCCATCTTGCTGCCTTGGCTTAGGTTTGTTTAGCATCATCACTCTGTGGACTGAGCAGGAACTCGTCAATCTTGCTCAGTCTGCGCTGTAGTGACACCCAAGTGACTCTTGCTGCTGCGAAGCCAAAGGCAATGAGCTTATTATGCAGGATGCCTCTTGAGTCATGAGCCTAGAATTTTATGTTAAGTAGAATTATTATTTATATGTAATTTTTTAATGATATGCAGATGATTCTCTTACAGGGAACACAGGTTTTGCCATAAAGTCTTAGGAACGAACACAGTCATGAACATATGCCAATGTCAAAAAAATTATGCTTTCTTATATAATTGTAGATGGTAATCATTCAATTTTTATTCAGGAAAAAAGCTCGCTAACTACTTTGATGAATATTTCATGTTCTAAGTCATAAATTGCAATGAGGTACAGTAATACTACGTTATTTTCAATTCTAGCTCCAACTGTATTAAGCCTGATGGGCTTCTGGAATTTACCAAAAAGCTGGAAAGTTACACAGATGAACACAGAGAATGTATCAAACTTACCAAACTGTGCCTCTATCAGAATTGGCTGGAGCAAGATGCTGTCACTGCTCGAGAAGCCCTTTCAAGACTAAAAGCTATATGTCATGTAGTTAGTGATGCATGGGATTCATCACAGGCCTTTGCTGACTACATCAGCGTGATGTAAGAAGCGCTGTAATGGAGAGTGTCTTCTAATAAATCTGCTTAACATTTTTTATTGGGATGTTATTGGGGTATTTAAGCAGTTCTAAACAGGACTTCCCATATTGTTTTGTTTGTGTTCAGATTTTTCTGATCTCTGTTTAGCATGAAGGATACAGTAAATGTTAGCGGAAATGTCTCATTTCCAAAATAACTTTTATAAAGTCAGGAAAGTATGAGATTAACAATTACTTTGAATCAAGATTTAACAACTCCATGATGGAAAACTTATTAGCTTAAAATTGAAACCTATCTTGTCTGCATATGGAAATCTCTAGATCAGATTAAACTATTCTACCAAATGCACCACACAGTTTATGTTGTTCACATGTTTTGTATTATAACGAGAATTTAAATGATACTTCTGCTTTCTGAAGTACGTTTACTATTTATGCAGACCTTATTGTTAAATAAAAAATATTATAGTGATTATCCTATTATTTGAATTAACTGCATATTGTTGGGCAATCTGAGTATCCATCATTTTTTTTAATCCATGTCCTAGAAAATACCATTTCAAGCATCTCCTTGTAAAGATTTTTAATTTTTCAATATAACAACAGTAATTTGGTGAGTCATTCTATCATAAATACAATGCTTTGGGATTCTTTTCTGGGTCATTAGTCTTTCCATACAAAGATTTCACAAACATTTATCTTTCTCAATATATGAAAATGGTTAAATAAAGAAAATGCTTTCCTGTCTTTGTAGAATAAAGACCTTAGTCTACCAGAAATTACTATTATATTACAGCAAAAACAATTTTATGTACACATGTACACCATTTTGTTAGTTTCATCTCATATCCATACTGACATATGAAATACTGTATGTTTATTGCTTCTTGTGATATACTGTATATACTCAGTTGGAACAATATTCTTTCCCTTTATTTTACTTATTAATTTGTTGTAAAAATATGACAATTTTTGATTTTAAAATTAAAGATGATCCTGACCTAAAAATTGTTCCTGTAATAGGTTTAAAACTGGATGATGCAATATTAGTCTGCAGCAAAGACATTTTAAAAACTTATGTCACAATGATATGTGATAATGATTCTACTTTGAGCTTTTTCTCTTCTCTGAAAGTGGTATTTGTTATCGATTTGGTGTTAAATAGTCCATCTGACTTACATAGACTTCACGATGGCAAGGCATTCTAGAGGTGAAAGATTATTAGTATCTCTTCTAGAATATTCTACACACATTTAGCAGATTGACAGTAAAAGCTCAAACATACTTTTTCAGAAAAAGAATATTTATGATGGTTGGTTGTAACCAAATATTTCAGCAAAGTATTTGTGAAGATAGTCTATAATATTTATGCAGATTGAGTTGAAAAAACATCCAATCCTAATGTTGCTGATATGGAGGTATCAAAAAATTCATCTTTTAAAGAAAGAGCTTATTGATCCAATGATTATGGTATCCCTCGTTGTTCTTCATGTGATTGATGATAGAAGGTGAAAGTGACTGCAGCATCCCAGGCAGTCTTCAGGACATTGTCCTTGAGGCCACGTTTTTCAGCACAGTGATGCCACTGAGATAAATCAGAAGTGCAGTCAGATCCCTCCGGAGGAGGTCTGACTTGATGGCCGTTCACACAGCGACGACATTTGATCCTGTAATAAAAAGTGAATTTGTATTCACCACAGTTACAAGCCATGATTTCATGCTATTGAGTTTGAGCTACAGGACTTGGTGTTTAGCAGATTTCCCATGCTAGGAACAATATAAATTAGGATTATTTAAATGGATTTTCGTAGCAATAACTTCAGGTGGTGTGAATACAAAATAATCCTCTCTTTCAAAAGCCAACTATGGCTTTTGTATCTATGGCACCAACAAAACCAATATGTTCAATCAGTCAAAATCCCCCAATTACAAACCTTTATTATGTATGTAAAATATGTAAAATAGTAGACCATCAAACACTGTTTTTAAGATGGTTCAGTATACATTAAAATTCTCTACCCTTTAATTTTGTATAGCTGATTGGTACACAAGTATTGCCCCAACCAACCCAATTACCTTAATATTTATGCAGACTTAAAATTTCCCAGTCCTAGTCTACCTGAACTGTATATTACAAAACTTAGAATAAAAAAATAAAATAAAATAAAATATTGGCTTCCGCAAATGTGGGCCTCTACATATTTGCTAACTGCAACACTGGCTGATTGTCAGAAACCTGCTCTTATCACTAATATTCAGACAGACTTAATATCTACATACAGCTTCCCTTAGTCTTTTTTTTGTAAAACAATACCAACATTTCCATCTATGTCTCCTAATCTTTGTCTACATGATTTAGCTAGCTAAGCCCTTCTGAGACCTACTTGTCATGGGTATCACTTGTAGTGGTCTCATTGAGTGTGAATAGCTCTTTCAGTTCCCCCAGAGAGAAGTGTCTTTCCACATCTTGTTCTTCATCTACTACACAGCTGCTAAGTGCCTTCTTGTGTGTCTGTCGCTGGAAGATCTTTTCTTCAATTGTCCCTGTCTACAAAATAAAAATATATCTGGTGACAAGTTGTTGTGAGACCTGTTTGACTCTTAAAATCACTACACATTCCTTAACATGATTTTAACAATCTAGTTAGCTTCAGCGGAAGCTTTCAGTCAAAGCTGACATTAGCAATTCTATTTTTTTTTCTTCCCAAACACACACAACAAAACTGGTCAATTCATAACAGATAGGATGTTCTGCAAATACTTTATTTAAATCTTGCTTTTGTCTGCCTAGAAGTCAGATCTTTAATGTATGAAGAAAAATAGCTTCTAAATACAGTCTTGTTACCAAAAAGTAGGCTGCTAGCAGGCCAAGATGGTGTTATTTTAGATGTATACATGCCTATACGTTTGGAGTATATGTGCAAAGAATTCTGAAACTTGCAATCCCAGCCCTCATTTGGGTAGGGCTGATGTAACTAGCTAGATAAGGCCTTGGCAAAAGGCAAGATACACCCCTTATTATAAAAACTGTTGAAAGATTAGATCAGACTCCTAGAAAAAGATCGTGTTTTAATACATTGAAGGATAAGTTTACACTTTCCTTTCTTAAGCTACTAGTGTGAAACACTAATCATTTCCTTCTGGGGGTTCTATTTGGCAAGATTCAAGAATGCTTACATAATTTACCTATGTTACCTTCTTTTGGACATGTTTACGTTACGACAAGCAATTCTAGCACAATATCAACTTAGATGCTATAGTGCTGGGATGTCAAACTTGTGGCCATGATGTATTGTGACTTTTTTCCCCTTTGCTAAACCAGGTGTGGGTGTGGCCATCATGGGACACATCTAGCCCTCAGGCCGCGCGTTGGGCAGCCCTGATATAATGAGTTGGGCGGTATATAAATTTGATTAATAATATTATATAAATGATAAGATATCTGCTACAAACTTGTTTCTTCCCGGCAAAAAATTCAGGGTTTCATTTCATATGCTCCACAAGATACTAATGTCAACAGGTCAATCTTACTGAAAGTAATCGATAAATATAGCACGTTTTCTTTTGGCCATCTCTCCACACTCGAGCCATAGCTTGTTCATCATTGGCTGGATTCCAATCAGGATCAAACATCACAAGTCTGTTTGCTCCAATCAGATTTAAGCCACATCCCCCAGCTTTGCTACTTAGCATGAAAATGAATTCAGGACTCTATGAAACCAGGAAAAAAAAACACATGGGTGGCAGTTAAATACATTATCTGTAGAACAGCAAATTTCAAAGTCACAAAATCGTATTGCTCCGTGGGTGTATGCCTCTACAATGGTCCAAGCATGAAATTACCAAGAGATGAGGGAACAATTCAAGAACAGGTGCAGGCCTACCTGCCACTACGATAGCAACAATCTCCTCTAATTCTTAAGAGTCCAACCTTAACAGAATTTCTGGTACTGCAATTAGGACTGCAATAATTGAAGCACACACTTTTATACAGGGGGGATGACTTTTTGCAAAGCACATTAAAACAAATTTATTAACATATTACTGCTTTGTAGCTACATCCCTATGTCAAACTGAAAAACATCGCTTGCCAGTTAAAGACTGGAGCTTTTGTACTAAAAGCCTCCATGAACCCGATATTAGAAACTTCACTTACAGAAAGATTGTTGAAACGCTCCACTATCTTTGCTCTCTTTTTAATGGACATGGTACCATCCAGACGGACATACAAATACCTGATACAAAACAAGACATGAAACTTAATATATCTTATTGAAATAAAAATGAGTTTATCCCCTCCTCTCTCTCTCCAGGATGCTTTTGTTGATTTCCCCACCATTTCCCTTCTAATTTATAAATTAGCCTCAGTCATTGTACCTCCTACTTCTGCAGAGTTTCTCAAAAAGGTCCAGGGTCTGTGTGTAATTGGACACCAGGACTACTTTATCATCACTAGTGCTTCTAGTAACTGCCAGAATGTAGTCCAAAACCAGCATCTTTCCTGGAAGGAAAACAAAATGAGTGTACGCATATTTTCCATATAGGGCTAAGAAATCACCTGCTCCTGCAGACCGAGTACAGATTGATCTTGCCATGATATTTACCTGAGAGCTGAGGCTCTAGAGACTTAATATGATAGCCAGATGGAAACAACTGTAGAGCTCCCACAAACCCTTCTTCCTCTTCTACACACTTTTCGTAGATCAAGGCAGGGTCTGCAGAAGAATTCAGGAGTCACTGAAACTGCTAAGCACCCCATTCAATGAGATAGAATCCTTTTAAGCTAGCCTTAAAACAATGGGGAACCTCCATGCAATACTTTTCCTTCTCTTAACAGATACGATCAGAACAAGGCACAATGAATAGGTTAACATACAATATACTAAAATGTACAAAAGTGGGTTGCCTCTCTTTGAGAGAGATTGAGTAATTTTTTACTTATCTAGATTCAGTGCTTTTGACCAGTTCCACACTGGCTAACAGTCCAAGCATTACCAGTTATAAATCTACAACAGCCTTCCTCTAATGACTTCTAATGCTTTGATTTCTGCTTTAATTCCAAACTATCCAGACCTTGTTTTTTTTTAAAAAAAGAAGCATGTTTGACTCAGATTTTTAATGCACAAGCCGATTATACAACTTATGAAGGCTGCGGAAGTAATGATGACATCAGACACAGTTATCCATAATGCAGATTAATTTTAAAATACAAATTTAGGCTCCATAAAATAGCTGCTAGAATATAGGTTAGAGCTGCAGGGGAGCACGTTCCTTACTATAGCTATTTTTAATCCAGTAACATCATTTTCATTGCCTTCTACTACATATGTTTAATTTATTTCAGTAATAAATATAAATATAAATATATATATATATATATATGTATATATAGCTCTGGATTGAAGCGTTGGCTTCTTGTTGTTTGCTGAATTTGTTTTCTTGCAAATGTTTCATTACCAGATTTGGTATCATCACCAGTGCAAGAGAGAGGGGTTTGCTAGTTGTATATATATGCTAGCTTGCCCTACCAATCTTGGTGGGGATTTAGCTTCCTCCTGGGTGATTTTTTGATTAGAATATTGTTTGTCTGGAGCCATTTGTATGAATGCTAGGGAAGTTGTATCCTAGACTGCTTGATTCCTTCCTTGATTTGGGGTTGTATCTTTTAAGTGATATGTAGATGAGGCATATCTCTATATGTCTATTGCTGCTTGATTGGTCTCAATGCCAAACTTCCATAAATGTGTAGATTTGGCTTAATCTAAAACATTAACAATTTCCCAGTTGAAATCATGATTCAATTTGTCTATTTATTGAGGATTTCCACCATGTCTTCTGCCAGCCAGAAGACCTCCAAGGTCCTTTCCAGCTGTTATTCTGCTCTATTTGAATGATGGTTACATTCTGCCTATCTGTCTTATATAGTAGCTGTTACATACACACATGTATGTTGTAGATGACTCTTGTTTTTCTTCTTCTTTGGTAACTGGATGTTTAGGTT